TTGCATACAAAAGTACGAATTCACAAGGGGGCCATAGTCAGATGGCAGGAGGCTGGCAACCAGGCTTCTCCAGTGCATAGTGGCGAGGTTGGTTTCGCCACACTTCTCCCCTTTACCAATCAGACTAACAGGGTATCTGACCTCCTGCCGGTCAGTGCCCTTGTTAGTCCAGCAGCCCACCCACAAAACACAGTCAGTAATACAGCCCACCCACAATAACTGGCTACTACACCTGGGTAGAGGAGAACTTTGTCCGTGTCCAGGTGCCTCACCATGGCTGTGTGGGTGACTGGTCAGCGTACTGGGTGGGTTGCTGAGTGGGCAGAGACCAGCGGTACTCTGTCCTGGTGCCAGCACTACCACGGGAGTAGTCTGGTTGGAGCCTGGTTGCTGGAGGGGGGGACAGACTGTCTCCCCTTTGCCTAAACAGTCCTGCTGCTAGGGGACAGGACCGACTGTTCCTACCCCCGGTGGTGCAAGTGCAGAGACCACTGTCCCCTCTGCACTGTTGTGGAGATTACTGTCTCCCCTTGGTGGGCTAAGCTGCCGCTGGGGAGAGGGGGTAACAAGCTCCTCTCCCATACATACTTTCAGCCGCTGGGGAGAGGGGATAACAAGCTCCTCTCCCTGACACTCTCTCTGCTGTTGGAGGGGGGGACCAACTGTCTCCCCTTTTAATATATTGCCCTGCTGCTGGGGAGCGAGACCGACTGTCTCCACTTCCTGCAGAACACACTGCCGCTGGGGAGGGAGGACGACACCTTCAGCTCCCTGGGGTACACACTGCCGCTGGGGAGGAAGGACGGCACCTTCAGCTCCCTGGGATACACACTGCCGCTGGGGAGGAAGGACGGCACCTTCAGCTCCCTGGGACACACACTGCCGCTGGGGAGGAAGGACGGCACCTTCAGCTCCCTGGGACACACACTGCCGCTGGGGAGGAAGGACTGCACCTTCTGCTCCCTGGGACTCACACTGCCGCTGGGGAGGAAGGACGACACCTTTGGCTCCCTGGGACTCACACTGCCGCTGGGGAGGAAGGACGGCACCTTCTGCTCCCTGGGGTACACACACTGCCGCTGGGGAGGAAGGACAACACCTTTGCTCCCTGGGACACACACTGCCGCTGGGGAGGAAGGACGACACCTTCAGCTCCCTGGGGTACACACTGCCGCTGGGGAGGAAGGACTGCACCTTCAGCTCCCTGGTATACACACTGCCGCTGGGGAGGGAGGACAACACCTTCCGCTCCCTGGGACACACACTGCCGCTGGGGAGGAAGGACGACACCTTTGGCTCCCTGGGACACACACTGCCGCTGGGGAGGAAGGACGACACCTTCAGCTCCCTGGGATACACACTGCCGCTGGGGAGGAAGGACGACACCTTCAGCTCCCTGGGATACACACTGCCGCTGGGGAGGAAGGACGACACCTTCAGCTCCCTGGGATACACACTGCCGCTGGGGAGGAAGGACGACACCTTCAGCTCCCTGGGACACACACTGCCGCTGGGGAGGAAGGACGACACTCCCTTCACACTGCTGGGGAGGAAGGACCACCTGCTCCCTGTAATACACACTGCCGCTGGGGAGGAAGGACTGCACCTTCAGCTCCCTGGGATACACACTGCCGCTGGGGAGGAAGGACGACACCTTTGGCTCCCTGTAACTCACTCTGCCGCTGGGGAGGAAGGACGACACCTTTGGCTCCCTGGGACACACACTGCCGCTGGGGAGGAAGGACTGCACCTTCAGCTCCCTGGGATACACACTGCCGCTGGGGAGGAAGGACGACACCTTCAGCTCCCTGTGATACACACTGCCGCTGGGGAGGAAGGATGACACCTTTGGCTCCCTGGGACACACACTGCCGCTGGGGAGGAAGGACGACACCTTCAGCTCCCTGGGATACCCACTGCCGCTGGGGAGGAAGGACGGCACCTTTGGCTCCCTGTAACTCACATGGCCGCTGGGGAGGAAGGACAACACCTTTGGCTCTCTGGAACTTACTCAGCAGCTGGGGTGTCTCCCCCCTGGCCGACTCTGCTAGGGCTTGCAGGTACTCTCCTATTGTTTTCTTGGCGATCCGCACTGTACTCTCCGCGGGGTTGGGTCCACAGAGCGACAGCACCGCATTAACCTCTCTGTCAAACTGCTCTTGAGTGTAGCCAGGCGCCATGCTTCCTCTGCCGAAGTTGGTTCCTTTGTAGATAGGGTCGCTGTACGGGTACTAACGTTGCCCTCAATTGTAATACAGGCACTGGTGTTGTCTTGTAGCTGTCCTTCTGGTTGTAGGAACGATCCCGCCGCTGCCACCAATTGTAATGGACCGTTTCTCTCACAAGGGGATAAAATCGGTTTAGGCGATAATCCCCTTTCCCATAGACCAGCAGCTACTGCAATCACCAACCTCCTGAACTCCAAACTGCACGTATTCACCAACTCTCGAACAGCAGACACAGGAACCCTGGAAGCAGCCGAACAGGAAAAGCAATACAAACGGCTTACACTCCTGGCAGTCAGCACACAATCCAGTTCCCCCAATAACGAGACGACACTTCGTTTTGAGGGTTAAGCAGAATCTCAGGTGCTGGCACACCCAGCCTGGTTTTTATTTCAGTCTTGCAAATACAGGACCGCCCACAGGGAGGTATAAAACAACCAATCACATCACAGTTACATCCCACATATTCCCTCCCCTTATCCTGAGAGGAAACTCAATTATACATACAGATAAAACATACTTTCTACCCAACTTTCATAACTCTAAAACCATACATCACATTCACATAAAATTACATATGCACAATCAATCCATTCAGGGGAACAACATATTCAAAAATGGCACAAATCAGATAAGGGGTTCAAAAGTTAGTAAAAAGTCCTTTGTGACTAAATGAAGCATGGCTTTCTGGCCCAAACCAGTTTCAGAGTCTTCTATCCTGGAGATAAGTAATTCAATTATCTCCCAGGACAGACACAAGACTCCATTAAGCACATGGTTGCAAAAGACACAAAACACTTTAAAATACATAAAGTCACATTTTATACATAAAACACAGACATTTCACATATCCCCAGATAGCTCAGGTCTGAGCGCACATTATTAAGTGAATGGCGCTCAGACCACACGAATACAGTGTAATCGCCATGGAGCCAAAGTCTTTACAGTCAGTTTCATACAAATGGGCTCCATGGGATTCCTATCTGGGGTATAACACATTCAAACACATCTACCGAACCCCAGGCAGAAAAGCACGAATACAGCTTTTCTGCAGGCAAAAATAAAGTCTTTTAAAAGGGGGCCATAGTCAGATGGCAGGAGGCTGGCAACCAGGTTTCTCCAGTGCACAGTGGCGAGGTTGGTTTCGCCACACCCTTTTTCCGTTCCTTTCATTCGAATGCGCTGTATTTGGCTGTAGAGTTGGATCCCGTCGCTTGCCACCAATTGTAGCGGAACGCCAATATTAAATCCACGAATTCCGCTGGTTCAGGAAATAATCCACAGTCAAGCGCTGGAAAAAGCAAGGCAATATCCCAAATCTCCCAGTAACCGGAAGAAACACAGTTCTGAGAGTCAACTGAGGTCTTTTATTTCAGCTCCACAATTTATACAAGTCCCCATGCAAGGGGTTTCCTGAGTCCCTTCCCAGGGGCAGTCCCAGAGGGGACTACATGGGGGACTTATTGTACAAGCTAGTTCTCCCATCAGGCACTGCTGCACAAGAGGGATCCTCCCACAGGAATGTACCGTTAAGTGGATTATCCCTCCGTGCAGCAGAACTGACAATTTATATTAAAATACATAACTGTGGTAATATACGGTTTATTTGCACGAATGGACGTTCGGTAGATAGCTGGGGTCTGAGCGCATCATTCATGAGATTACTGCTCAGATCCCAGCTAAAACAACCGAACGCCGCACGAAAAACACATTTAGAACAAGACGTGTTTAAATGACCGATTGCCTTCCAGGGAACGAAATACCGAACGGCCCGGAGCTCCCGAATGGCCTGGAGGCTCAGCGGGGTTCGTGCCGTCGCTCGACGACCCAACCCCGCTGAGGGAACAAAGGATCCAAGATGGCCGACCGCCGCGTGGTCGGTAGTTGAACGGCGGCCACCTAGGAGAGCCTCTAATTACCGATTGCAACATTGTTGCAATCGGTTAACAAGCGCCACACGCCTCTAAGTGTGTGGGCTATTACATGGGGTGTTTTCGGTTCACGAACGGCCCGCAAAAGTGCCGTTCGTGAAACGAAAGAAAAATCCAATACAAATAGCTATCTGCATTCGGCAGATAGCCAATACAGGAAATACAAGGTATTACAGCCAGCATACATTATACTTAGTCACACACATATCCCACAACCATACAGGCAACCCTTAAAGGTACAGTCTCTTTATATTGTCCAAGTGGCTAGGTTTGCCACACGCCGTTTAGTGAATCATCCCCTCTCGCAATAACACAGGCTTCATTCGTATCAAAGGTAATCATACGAACCACAAGCAGGGGAATGCTGTAATCTCCCGAACGGGACCCGTACGGGTACTTCACTCCCGAGCTCCAAACTCACGAATCGCCAATAGTAGCCGAATGCATATATCTCCCAAGCGGCTAATAATCCCATTCGACAGTCTCTAGTCGTTGGTAATAAATCCCCCCAATAACGAGACCAAGCTCCGCATTGAGGGTAAAACATGAACTGGGTTTACTGTGAGCTACCCGCCTGTATTTATGCAGGTCTCCCACTTGGTGGACACTCCCCTAGGGGACCAAATGGGAGACTGTAATAGCAGATGGACATATGGCATTTCAGGACATAGTCACATAATATTCCCAGCATGCATCATGGTTTCCTCCCCTCTGCCCGGGAGATAATTGAGAAGTAATTAAATTATCTCCCAGGACAGAGGCAAATCGCCATTTTAAGTACAATAAAAAAAAACACATAAAAATACATAACTTTACAACTGGCGAACATTTCTCATTCGTATCACATATATCCAGATAGCCTCGATCTGAGTGCATATTTTTGGCGAATAGCGCTCAGATCCCATACTCATAGTTCAATCGCCATGGAGTCAAAGTCTCTTACAGTATTTCGGTATGCGATTGACTCCATGGGAAGGCTATCTGGGTTAAGTCCATTCGTGCATTTCAAACTGCCGATGTTCGTGGGCTTCTGTCGATTGAGAAGGGAGGTCGGTGGCTTCAGCGGGGTTTGGCGGAAAAAGTGTCAGTTTTTAGTTCCATAGAATCTGAGCCGAACACCGCTGGTCTTTCGCTTGTTTAAAAAGGCCGCCGCCTCATGGTCGACATACGAACGACGACCACCCTGTATTCGGTTTTAATTGAGAAGTGTCTGCGGTTAACCACAACGTTCTAATTGGGATCAAGAGGTTAACCAGCAGCACACTTCTCTTCTGGGTGGCCGTCCGTTCGGTAGTTTAGTTCGGCAGAAAAGTCAAAATAAAGGAAAAGGTGTATACGGACAGGTAATTCTACGAACAGGGGCAAACAGACGAACCAGCAATCTCAGTCTGTACAGATGGATCTGTCACACCATTCGTTTAAAACTTTCGTCTAAATTGACTGTAATGGATGCTATAGTAAAAGGCCGTTCGAATCACAAATTTTCTACCGAACGTCCCAACCACCCAGTACAGAAGTGTGTCACTCCTTTATCTCCCTGATGCAAGGAGCTCCTTGAAAACTGTAAATAAGTCATCATATTAATTGCCCTTCAGGGTGGTCAGCGTTCATTTGCCAAACACGTGGTGGCGGCCATTTTGTTTAATCAAACGCACTCAGCGGTCTTTGGTCGTCGACCGTGTGGAACTATTTTTGACCTTTTCCATGCACACTGCTGAAACTTCTACCTTCCGTGTGTTCGGCTAAACCCATGTGAACAGAACGCTATTTCTATGGAATAAACTCACGAACATGCTGCATCTAAAGAGAGTTGGCACGAACCAATCCGTTCGTGCAATTTGAACTTTATGTGAATGGAAAGATAGACCGACCGCACAGCATGAATCTGTGGAACTGTTTCAGGCATACAAACAGGTGTACGGTTGGTCCAAAGAGACTTTCCCCCATCTCCCGAACCCCTGCACGGATTTGTGATTTTTACATATGTTGCTCCCCAAGTTATGCTGGTTATAAAAATGTTTTATTCATATACAATGCAAAATCAGGAAGTTATATAGATGTCTAAAAGGTATTTTTTTTCAGCTTGGAGATAAATGAGTGGATACAGTAAGTAACTTGATTATCTCCCAAGCACAGGGGAGGGGATATGTGGAATGTAACCATTGTTTGATTGGCTAATGTATAATTGTCTGTGGGTGTCTCCCTTGCATGGGAAAACTACATAAAATGAGACTATTTGCCTTTAAACCTTCAGTTCTGTTACACCCTCAATCTAGAGTTTTGTCTGTTATTGGGGTAACAGCTATACAGCTATCACACTAGCTCTTGTAAAAGCTTCACTTGGATCACTACTGCATGCTGAGAATCCTCCTCACTGATCGGAACAGTAATTAACACTCCCACATACAGTCAACAATCCCTCCCCTCTGCCTGTGATATAATTAAGCCAGCTAATGGAATAACCTAATTATTCACAGGCCGAAAATATAAATTTTACCCCAAAGTCCAGAAACACCTCAAAACACAAACATTGCCCTATAAATTATACATGGATAGTGTGACGAAGTGCCCTTCGCCACTTGATACTGGAGAGGCCTGCTTGCCAGCCTCCTCCCCTGTGACTATGACTCTTTGATGTATTTGCCTTTAAAGCCCCTATTTTACCTTCAGACAGACTATTTATGTAGGCTGCTTTATTTATCTTATGTTTTAGTCACCCTGTACCCATTATAGGTGCAGGGTGTGTGTAATGTAATTGTTTATAGTGTGTGTGTGTACTGTAATTGTTTATAGTGTGTGTGTGTACTGTGAAATGTATTGCCTTCTCTCCTGTACTGCTGAGGTTTGCTACCAACTAGGTGGGTTTGGCTATGGAGCTGGTCTAGTGCCCTCTGTTGGTAGCAACAGCAATATGCACTACCTGAATTGCAAGACTGGTTCATTTGCATATTCGGGTAGATTTGCATATTGCTAATTCTGCAGGCAGGTGAGATATTTACTGTTAAATATTGTCTCCCCCCACCCCTTTAAAAATGTGCCATTGTGTTGTGATAAGTCACTGTGTGTTTCTTGATATGGTTTGACTGTTTGTGATTTTATTGAGGTTTCACAACAATGTTATTGTGGTGACTGTATTGGCTGGTCCCAAGGGAATAAAGGTTTTGACAGTTCTTCTTGATCCCTCTAAACGTAGCCTTGTCTCGTTATTGGAGGGAGCTGTTATAATCACACTGGGGATTGCTATGCTCTGCATGCTCCCCTGAGCTTGAGTCACTTAGCTCTTTTAAGAGCTTGTTCCTGACACGCTCTCCTTGGAGGAGGGGTCTTCACCACACAGTCCTGGATGCTGGAGGTTCGTACAGGGTGGAAGGAAGAGTTCTTTCCCACACAGTCCTGGAGGACAGAAGCTGATCCAGGGTGGAAGGAAGACGGCGAGACTCCAGTCAAGATACGGCGGTTGCGGAGTCTGCGGTGGTTGTGGTGTCTGCTGCAGTGCTTGGAGTCCTCAGGAAGCGCTAGGAGCATCCGTCAACGGAGGGTACTCAGTCGGAGTACAGGAGCTCCGTTACATTGGTGGCAGCGGTGGGATGGCGTCCTAGTGCGAGGAGAAGCAGCTCTGAGACACTGGTATCGTATGAGAGGTTATTGAGGGCAACGCTAGCCACTGTGCAGCGTCCCTAACTACAGCAGCATGGAGCAGGGATGGATAGAGCCCTGCGAAGAGCACCTCAACAGGATACGTCGCTACGAGGACGACGCTTACATTGAGGAGGTAAAGAGGCGGTTGGTCTGCTATGGCCCAGACCTTTCGAACGAGGTGGTCCACCAAGTAATGCGCCAGTTGAGTGCTGAGAACAGTGCGGCAATGGCCTTTGAGCGAAAACTGTGGAGGTTGAGGATATGGACACCTAGTCTCCAGCGACAGTGTAAGTTCCAGGGAGCCGAAGGTGTCATCCTTCCTCCCCAGCGGCAGTGCAAGTTACAGGGAGACGAAGGTGTCGTCCTTCCTCCCCAGCGGCAGTGCGAATGTCCTTCCTCCCCAGCGGCAGTGCCCAGAAGGTGTCGTCCTTCCCCCGCAACAGCAGCAGTGTGTCCTACAGGGAGCAGAGACAGTTGGTCTCTCTCTCCAGCAGCAGGACATTGTTATGGGAGTGGAGACAGGCGGTCTCCCTCTCCAGCGGCAGCCTGTGTTTCAGGGAGAGGAGCACAGCACCCTATCTCCCCAGCAGCAGCTTACCCCACCAAGGGGAGACACCAATCTCCCAGATGGCGCAGATGGGACCGTGGTCTCTGTGCCTGACCTACAGGGATGCTGGACAGCCTGTCTGTAACGGCTACCCGGGTAGAGTGAGGGTATCTGCCGTTGGAGACGTCCTTTTTCCCTGTAAGCTGCTGTGGAGGAGTAAGCTGGTATAATCCCATCCACGATATCCAGAGTAAGAGTCAGGTTCAGCTGTAACAGGAGCAGAATGACATTCCCAAATAATCCCCTTCCAAGAACGAGACAAGGCTACGTTTTGAAGGGTCAAGAAGATCTGAGGACTGGAACACCCAGCCTGCTTTTTATTGGGATCAGGTACACACAGGATACTCCCAGGGGGAGGATAAGAACACCCAATCATATACCTGGTAACACCCCCACGTCTCCTCCCCTCAGATAACATATAACATAATTAAAACGTACAACATTTTACCCCAGTTCTGGATGTGCCCCAAAAACAGGGGGTACAGCTTTAAATCCTGGGTCGCTTGATAGCTCTCATTCAGGGGACCAACATGTCCAAAAATCAGCCCATTCGGATGAATAGTTCGGGAGATACAGAGTTCCAAAGTTTTGACCGACCGCACAGACCAACTAGCCGAAAATAGTTCCATGAGTTTTGGCCTTGCGGTCGGTCTCCGTTCGCCTGGTAGGAAGGTATGAAATTCTTGCCATCCATTCGAATCTCAGGGTTCGCCGCAATCCCCATAGATGATTGAACATAACTACCGAACGTCCGGTGATTCGGTAGTTTCCGTGCGAACTTCTGGAAGTATGGAGGACTCAGCGGTGTTCGCCTGTTTGCGTATCCGATTTTAGTTCCACGCGTCGACAGGCAAACACCGCTGTTCGCACGTAAGATGGCCGCGGCCACGTGTAAAGTCCCGAAATGGCGGCCACCTATACTTTACACAGGGAATTCATGCGAATCCATTCGAATGGTTGAAATGCACTAAATGTGCCGAATTCCTGCTGATTTTGGTTAGTTCACTGGCCCAGGTATACAGCATAGTTCTGTTACACTGCTCCCCTTTTGTGGAACACTCCGGCAGACCCGGATTGACCTTTTTCGGGTCAACTTGGGGCTGTCCGGTCTGCCTCTAAGGTAAAAGTTCTGTTTGCCTGGACAGTCCGTCTGCATTCCCATTGAACCGGCCTGGGCGATACTGGATGGAGAAATTATACGGTTGTAGGGCTAGGCTCCACCTCAGTAGTCGTCCATTGTCCCCAGCCACTCGGTTCAGCCATACTAGAGGGTTATGGTCTGTGATCAGGGTAAACTCCTGACCATAAAGGTAGGGGGTGAGCTTCTTTAGGGCCCAGACCAGGGCTAGACATTCTTTTTCCACTGCCGCATAACTCACTTCCCTGGGCAATAGCTTTCTACTCAGGTATGCGACAGGGTGTTCTCCCCCATCTTCTCCGACCTGGCTTAGCACTGCCCCCAGTCCGTACATGGACGCATCTGTGTGGACGACAAATCTTTTATTAGGGACGGGGGCAGACAAAACCGGTGCGTTGATCAGAGCTTGTTTCAGGGTTTGGAATGCTGTTTCACAGGCGGGAGACCACAGGACTACCCTAGGTAAATTTTTCTTCGTTAAATCGGTCAGAGGTTTGGCGATGGCGCTGTAGTCAGGGACAAATTTTCTGTAGTACCCTGCCGTTCCCAAGAAGGCTAATACCTGGGTCTTAGTGTGGGGGGTGGGCCAATTCGCTACGGCCTCTACCTTGGCGGGTTCTGGTCGTTGTTTCCCACACCCCACTCTGTGTCCCAAGTACTGAACTTCAGCCATACCAAAG